TTTGAGAATCCCAAATGCACAAAATCATGGGTTGATCCAGGTCAACCATCAATATCGACTGCAAGGCCAAATCGCTTTGGAAAGAAGACAATGCTCTGCGTTTGGTGGGATCAGGAAGGTGTGGTATATTATGAGTTTCTAAAACCAGGTGAAACCATTAATACTGATCGCTGCTGACAACAAATAATCAATTTGAACCACGCTTTGATCATGAAATGACCAGAATGTGCCAGAAGATACGGCAAAGTAATTTTGCTTCATGATAATACACCATCATACACTTCAAAACCAGTTAAAGACCTAGCCTGGGAAGTATTAACCCACCTACCGTATTCACCAGACCTTGCTCCTTCAGATTACCACTTGTTCCAATCGATGGCACACGCACTTTCTGAGCAGCACTTCAAAACGTACGAAGAAATGGAAAATTGGGTCTCTGAATGGTTTGCCTCAAAACAAGAAAAGTTCTGTTGGGACAATATCCACAAAATACCGGAAAGATGGGGAAAATGTATAGCTAGTGATGGACATTACTATAAATAAAGCACTTTTGATGTTTCTCTTGAAATTATTGTGTTTTCTTTGATTACAAAATCCGCATTATTAACCGGTACACCTGGTAATTAATACAGTTCTGATTCCTTCGTAGGTTAGACTCAAATGAAAGTTTTGGACAGCATCTCCAGAAAACTGTTAAAATGCACATCTACATTTTTGCTCATCCTTGGGCCTCCTTCACAGACCTGTGCTTAAAAAGTCTGGGTAATCATTTGCATGTTATTGTGGAGTATGATGTTGACCCCCAACTATTCAAATTTGTCATCTCCATATTTTAATTTAAAAAATACATATATTTTTATTGATTTCAGAGAGGAAGGGAGAGGGAGAGAAGAGTAGAAACATCAATGATGAGAATCATTGATTGGCTGCTTCCTGCACACCCTACAGTGGGGATCGAGCTCACAACCCAGGCATGTGCCCTCTCCGGGAATTTTACTATGACCTCCTGGTTCATAGGTCAATGCTCAACCACTGAACCACACTGGGCAGGCCATTTCCATATTTTAATAACACTGACTCCGCACATGTGTAAAACTACACACACACACACACCCAAAAACAAACATTAAAATTATTATTTTCTTTTTCAGGTCTTGGTGGTACTTGTGTAAATGTAGGTTGTATTCCTAAGAAACTGATGCATCAAGCTGCCCTTTTGGGGCAGGCATTAAAAGACTCAAGGAAATTTGGCTGGGAGTATAATCAACAAGGTGGGTACTGGTATAAAAAATATAGATTGAGAGAAAAGAAAGAATGAGATTCTTAGAGAAAGACTTGCTATTTGTATTTCTATAGCTAGTTTAAAATTTGTTTAACATTCATTAGGAGCCTCCTGTGGTCCTGCTCCTGATTGCATAGGTTTGAGGTGGGTCCTAGAATCTGTATATTTTAACATGATTCCCAGGGGTCCTGATGTGCAGCCATGTGTGGGAACCTCTAATATAGAATGTCTTTTACAACAATAACCAGAAACAAGGATATGAAGTGTGAATTTAACTGACAAGGTCCTTGGGATAAATGATACTTTAAGGGTTGGAAAAATAGCTTTTCCAACTATTGGGGAAGTGAGGCAGTTATCTTAGGATATGAGGGTATGTGCCACTGCTGGGTCGTAACCTCCTGGGATCATGGGGTGGGAGTTGGGTAATGTAGTAACGGAATGACTCTCTGGATTGCAAAATCTTAGTTGACTTTACTATAAACGTTTACATTGGCCAAGCCTTTCTGTACTGTGACCTCTTCCTCTTGCCTACACTGTAATGTCCCATGTTCCTGATGATTAGTGGTGGAGCCTTTCTTGAGAGTGCTAGAGGCGGTGAGTCTCCAAATGTGACCAGAGGTGAACCCTTAGTTGGCTGGGTTTGTCTTCATGGGTCTCATCTAGTTTGATGGGAGCCGCCGGCTGGCTTCTGTGTCTTATAAATATGGTGGTGCACGGAGACAGTGTCTCCTTTGGGAACCAGCAGCAGCAGATAAGGTGAATGTCTGGAAATAAACTCCACCTAAAAGGTACAGGGTTGATGAGAAATCTGATTCCATCAACTCCCATCCCAACTTCAAAAGGAAGTGCGTAGACATTTTAATAAAAATGCTATGCAATGGTGAGTACTAACCACATTTATCACGAATAAATATAGGATATCCACTATGATAAAACCACCACCGGGTGAACCAGATGGGACTAGCCTGGGCCTGTCTGGGGAGGCGAATATGCAGTGCTCACTGACCTGAGACCTGCTTCCCTTCACATGCAGAAGGCCACGTGCAACAAGCCAACCATGTGAAAATGTCCTTGCGTGCTCCTGAGTACTGATGATCTTCTTGCCTCATAACTTTGCATGCACGGCCATGGGAGAGCTAGTTTTCTCCATTCTGTTCTCCATGGATATTTTTTCCAGTTTTATTCTTTTCAGAATTGTGCTTTTTTGCATGTTTTATAATATAAAAGAGGAAGAAGTATAAACCATAACTGGTATAAAAACGGTTTAAGTTGCTATTTATTTTCTGTTCATTTCTTGATTTTTTAAAGCAATATGTCATGTGGCTTGTGTGGTTGTATATAATTTACCATTTATAGTAAGAGCCACTTGATAACTTCATCCTGGTTACTTATTTCCAGTAAAGCACAATTGGGAGATCATGACAGAAGCTATTCAAAACCACATTGGCTCTCTAAATTGGAGCTATGGGCTGTCTTTGAGGGAGAAGTCTGTGGCCTATGTAAATTCCTATGGAGAATTTGTTGAACGCCATAAAATAAAGGTACTCTCTGAATATTTTATCTTGTTCATTGCTTTCCCTTTATTACTGCTTGTACGTGCCTTGAACTAAAATTCCATGTTTATGTTAAGGACTATAGCTAGCGCATGCTCCTCCATTGTTAGTGCATTTCACAAGTCTGGCTAAATTAAAGAAATTGCCTTTAAAGAAAACTCTTGATTTAAACTTATTTGCCATCTTTAAAAATTTTTTTTAATTAATTTCAGAGAGGAAGGGAGGAGAGAGAGAGAAACATCAATGATGAAAGAGATACATCAATTGGTTGCCTCCTGCACACCTCCTACTGAGGCTCGAGCCTGCACCCCAGCATGTGCCTGACCGGGGTGCAGGCTCATAGGTCATGCTCAACCACTGAGCACACTGGTCAGGCTCATTGCCATCTTAAAAGAAAAAGTTTAAACAATTTTAAACAATCAAAATTTTAATAGTGTTAATTAAAAAAAATGAAACCTTAATTAAAACGTTAATATATATTCATAAAAGTATTAAAGGTAGCATAAGAATTAGTATATTTTATAAATTTATATATGTAATGTTTATGTGTTATATGATCAATATGTAAGGAAAATGAAACCATTTTAATGAACACAAAACTTTTAAATTGGACTTATGAAAGACGGCCAAATATCATCCTCAGCACCCATTTATTTTTATACTCTGCTTTTGTAGCACAGTGTGCAATGATCTTGACAGAATTTGAGGGTATTTTGTAGTCATTTCTTGTCTCTAGAAAGGTGTGAGGTGGTCCAATTAAAGCTATCCCTTTAGAACTATACATGGGCTAATTTAAATGGCATCATTCACATGGAACATAACTAGAAATACCTGGTATATTCCAGTCAGTATCCGTATTCACACTGTCATTTGCCTGGTATAGTTGGTTTAATAAGCCCATCATTCTCAGCCAGACTTGCCTCTTCTATGCTTGCTCACTTAGTGATACCAGTGTCTCTCCAGTTACTCCAGCAGGAAACTTCAGGTTCCTCCCACTTCATCTTCACAGCTTGCACTGTTTGTTTGTAGCAGGTCCTTGTCTCCAGGCTGCCCTCCCTCTATCCCACTGAAACCACCTCCTAGTTTAAACACTTTCATTGCTTTTTGAATTTTTAAAATGTGAATATAGCCCAGTTGGTGTGGCTCAGTGGTTGAGTGTCGACCTATGAAATAGGAAGGAGGTTGCGGTTTGATTCCCAGTCAGAACACATGCCTGGTTTGTGGGCTCGATCCCCAGTAAGGGGCCGTGCAGGAAGCAGCCAATCAATGATTCTCTCTCATCATTGATGTTTCTATCTCTCTCTCCCTCTCCCTTCCTCTCTGGAAAAAAAAAGTGAATATATTTATGATTTACTTGTATAATTGAAAATAAAAAAACAATGAACAACCTTTGTTGATACTCCATAGCCTGGATTTGTAGAATGGCATAGAAGCATCTTTACATTTGGCGTTAATCTGTGTGACTTTACCTCTAACACATACTGTACTCTCCTCTCCTGTCACTTCTGGCAACTTGCTGTTCCCCATATGCCAGCTGCTTTCAGGCCCGTGTGCATTTTTATGTACTATTCTCTCTTTAGATATCAATTTCTCTAAAATCTTTTCACTTTTCTCATCCCTACTTAAAATGTTACTAACTATGGAGCCTTTCTTGCCTAGCTTTCCAGTCCCCTACTCCACTCCCACTGTGGTCTTTTGGTTAATGTTTTGTAAAGACCTATTTTCTATGGTGGTGCTTATCATACTGCATTGCTATTTTTGCATGTCTGTTCCTGTTGATGGGAAGCTCCATAAGGGTGGTAACTAGTTTGTCCATGGTGTCTGGTACTTTGTAGTATTGGTTGAGAAATGAAGTTTACTTTTCTTTTTTAAAGGCAACCAATAGAAAAGGACAAGAGACTTATTATACTGCTGCAAAATTTGTCATAGCAACAGGTGCAAGGCCACGGTATTTGGGAATCCAAGGAGATAAAGAATACTGTATTACTAGGTAAGAGTAAATTGGCCATTTTAATTAAATTATATTATGTTTATGAGTTTCCAGTTTATTCCCTGTTTTATTTCACAAAGATTTGAATTGATGAATAAAGGTACGTATATACAATGCAAAAAGCTATGTAGTTAACATAATGGAGCAAAGAGAAAATAAGGTTAGGTAAATAATAAGATCAAATTTACTTACAAAAATATGCTATATGTTTCTAGGTAATTGCTCTGAGAATTTGCCCTAAACTTCCTGGAGGTCAACGAATACAATTAGCTTTAGGTTTTAGTGTCTAATATAATAATGAACTGGCTGATCAGGAGAATCGTGGCTATTCCTAATACTGCGGTTTAATAGGAATCTCCCCTGGATAGTTCTACAGACGACAGTGTATAATGTAGTGCAATGACTTTCAAAGCTTTTTTGACCAGATGCACATTAAGAAGTACATTTAAAATATATATGTATATATTTTATTGATTTTTTACAGAGAGGAAGGGAGAAGGATAGAGAGTTAGAAACATCAATGAGAGAGAAACATCAATCAGCTGTCTCCTGCACACCCCCTGCTGGGGATGTGCTTGCAACCAAGGTACATGCCCTTGACCGGAATTGAACCTGGGACCCTTCAGTCTGCAGGTTGACGTTCTATCCACTGAGCCAAACCGGTTAGGGCAAGCAATACATTTTTTATTGTGCTGTTAGTACTCGCGTGAACACACACACATATCCAAAACTAACAAAATAGTATTTCCTCTTATCACATATAATGTAGTCTGAAATTTTCTCTTCTGTTTTTTAAAAAACTTTGCTTATGACCACTAATTTGATTTTGAAAAAATGGAGGTGTACTTCCTCGTTCACAGGAGAAACTATTACAAACCTCTAAATTCTTCTAGTGTTTCTTCATTCAAGCCCCAAATTGCAATTCAGCCAACAAAAGACCATTGAAACCTAAGTAACTCATGTCATTTTTATTGCCTAGGTGTTCTTTTTCTTATTTTTATTTTTCAGTGATGACCTTTTTTCTCTGCCTTATTGCCCTGGCAAAACATTAGTAGTTGGTGCATCTTATGTGGCTCTGGAATGTGCAGGATTTCTGGCTGGTATTGGCTTAGATGTCACAGTTATGGTGCGTTCAATCCTTCTTCGTGGCTTTGATCAAGAAATGGCAGAGAAAGTGGGTTCCTACATGGAGCAACATGGTGTTAAGTTCTTAAGAAAATTTATACCTGTGATGGTGAGTCTGAATGACATTTGGAATTCCTTTTATTTTCTTTTTATTCTCTCTCTCTTTAGCTTTTTATTTTACTCCTCCTCCATTTTATTAAATAAATTGGTCTGTACTCAATAGCAAACCTTGCAGACAATGTTCCCACCCTGGATCTACAAAACTGGCCCCCTTTGGTCCCAGTCCCCTCCTCCTCTGATATGGTGGTGTCCTTCCTCCTCTCAGCTCGGATTTCCTCTTCTCTCACTGTTCCCCTCACCTTCTCTCACCTTTTCAGGGACATCCCCTCTTCAGCTAATTGTCTTCTTTTTTTCCTCTATCATGATGCCCTGCAGTTTTTCTCATCTTTAAACAAATAAGCCTTCCCTTCCCTCTCTGCCTTTCTGGCTGGGTCCCTATACACCCACACTCACATGTATACCCTAGGACCATTTTTTTTTGTCCCCTTTAGATAGAATCATTACATTGTTTATTCTTACTAGGTTCAACAGTTGGAGAAAGGTTCACCTGGGAAGCTGATAGTAGTGGCTAAATCCACTGAAGGACCAGAAACTATTGAAGGAGTATATAACACGGTAAGTTTTTATTTTATAAGCAGGAAGTGGTTGAACACACTCATAAATTAGCACAGAAGAAGCTTATGGGAACATTATAACAGCTTAACATTTTTTGGATTCTTTGTTAGAGTATAATAAATATGGAAGGTAGTTTGTTGACATTTGATAATGGTATATGAAGAATACCATGCTAAAATACATGTGTATGTGTAACTATACATAGAACAAAATATGGAAGCAGATATACCTGACTGTTATTAGTACTTTGTTCAGGGGCATTAGATATCTTACACATTTCTGCATTTGAATATTTTTGCAATAAAAAAAATGAATCTATCCTATATAATAAAACCCTAATATGCAAATTGACCGAACAGCGGAACGACCAGTCGCTATGACATGCACTTACGACCAGGGAGCAAACACTCAATGCAGGAGCTGCCCCCTGGTGATCAGTGCGCTCCCACAGGGGGAGCGCCACTCAGCCAGAAGCCAGGCTCAAGGCTGGCAAGCGCAGCGGTGGTGGCAGGAGCCTCTCCTGTCTCCGCTTCAGGCAGGCGGTAAGGAGCAAGGGGTTCCAGACTGCAAGAGGGTGCAGGCCAGGCTAAGGGTTCGCCCCCCCACCCCGAGTGCATGAAATCATGCACCGGGCCTCTAGTTTTATAATAAAGACAGTAATAAATATACAGTGGGGCCTTGACTTACGAGTTTAATTCGTTCCGTGACGGAGCTCGTAACTCAAATTACTTGTATGTCAAATCAATTGTGAACGAGTGAGACACGTGATGCTGGGCTGATGTTGTGGATGTTGTGGCGTTCACTGTGAAGTTCGCTGCGCCAACTAGCCGTGGGGTATCTGAAGCTGGCTCGTAACCCGAATTTTAGCTCACAACTCAAAGCAAAAAATCGGTCAAGAGACGGCTCGTATCTCAAAAAACTCGTTAGTCGGGACACTCGTAAGTCAAGGCCCCACTGTATTTTCAAAAAACAAATAATATGAACTATCCAAAAAGGTGAACATTCCATGGATTATTTTGGATGACAACAATTCTAGTTTAAATTGCTGGTGTTTGGATGATAACATTTCTTTTGTAAAGTTTATAGTTTTAATACAAACTGTACATGTATGTTTTATATACTCTTATACACTTTTTTTAGTTAAAAAAGGAAATGTAGAGAGTCAACAAAATAAAAAATATATTAGAAAATAAAAGCTCTTATTTGATCATTTATTCTTAGATTATTTTGAGTTTTCTTTGTACCTATTCATATTATTTGTGAATAACCACAGTTTATTTCTCTTTTCCACTGTCTTCCTCATTACTTCTTTATCTTGTATAAGTACACTGCTAGCTTGGAACTCCAGTACAGTGCTAACCAGAAATGGCCATAGAGCCATACTTGTCTTGTTCTCAATATCGAAGGAATGTATTCCGTGTTTCCTTATTTAAGAATAATGTTTTTGGTAGGGTTTTGCTATAGATTCTTAATCAAGTTAAAGAAATTCTTTTCTGGCCCTAGCCGGTTTGGCTCAGTGGATAGAGCCTCAGCATGAGGACTGACGGGTCCCTGGTTCGATTCCGGTGAAGGGCACATGCCCGCCCGGGTTGCAGGCTCAATCTCCAGTAGGGGGCGTGCAGGAGGCAGCGATCAGTGATTCTCTCTCATCATTGATGTTTCTCTCTCTCCCCTCTCCCTTCCTCTCTGAAATAAATAAAAATATTTTTTTTTTAAAATTCTTTTCTGTTTCCTGATGCTAAGGGTTTTTGGTTATTTTTGTTGTTTTTCTAAATCATAAGTGTATGAGTTCAGTTGTAATAGTTCCTTTTGTAGCTGTTGATAATCAAGCATTTTTTTAATTTGTTAATGTGTTGAATTATATTGATTTTCTAATCTTCAATCAACCTTTTATTCCTGATATAAAGGTGCTATTTATATGTTGTTTGATTTGTTTATTTAGAATTTTTGCATTATATTCATGAATCATTGGCTTATAATTTCCTTACACATATTGAAATGTTCAGATTTTCTAACTCATGATATTCTAACTCATGAAAGAAGTTTGGAGTATGTTTCCTCTTTTCTGTTCTCTGGAAGAATTTATGTGATATTAGAACATTCTTTGTTTACTAGAATTCACTGATGCAACCATCTGAATCTAGAATTTTCTGTGAATATATATATATATATATAACCACTGGTTCATTTTTTTAAACAATCAAAGGCTGTTTAAGGCTATTTTTTTCTTGAGCTACTTTTGATTAATTACATTTTTCTAAGAATTAGTCCATTTCATCTAAGTTACCAAATATATGGGTATAAAGTTACATATTCTTTAGTTTCTCTGAGCGATATATCATCATTTTTCTCTAGAGGTCTTTTTTATATTTTGCTAAATTTATCTTTAGTATTTTATGTTTTTTAAGCTATTGTAAATGGTATTTAAATTTTTTAACTTTAGTATTAGTTGATAGTATATAGAAATACAAATGATTTCTGTATATTGACCTTGTGTAGAGTCTTAGGATTTATGTCTCTATATAAAAATCAGTTTGGTTTCTTCTTTCCAATCTACATGCTTTTTGTTTCTTTTTCTTGCTTTGTTGCACTGGTTAAGAACTCCAGTATAGTGCTGAGTAGACATTGTGAGTGCATATCCTCATCTGACACCAATCTTAGGGGTGATCCTAAGCATTCGGTCTTTTATGATTGCTAGGATGTAAAGCTGTTCTTTTGTTTACAGATGCCTTTTATCAGTTTGGGAAGTTTTCTTTTATTCTTAGTGTGCTGAGGATTTAATTAGAATCCTCAAGGGTGTAAAGTTCTGTCAAATGCTTTTCCCACATCTGTTGGGATGATTAATTTGTTTTCTCCTTTATTCTGTTAAAATGATGAATTACATTGATTTTTGCATGTTAAATCAAATTTGTATTTTTGGAACAAACCTCACTTGGTCATGATCAATTATCCTTTTTAAATATTGTTATATTTGATTTGCTAAGATTTTGTTAATGATTTTATATCTTATGTTCATGGAGATATTGGCTTATAATTTTATTTAAATATCCTTGTTTGATTTTGGTGTCAGATGTTTATTCTGGCTTCATAAAAAGGAGTTGGGAAGACTCCTTTATCTTTTTTCTGGAAGAGTTTGTGTACCACTAGTGTTATTGTTTACTTGTGTGTTCAATCGACTTTACAAGTGAAGTCATTTGGGTCTGGAGTTAATTAATAGGAAGTTTATAAATTGTGCATTCAGTTTCCTTAATGAAAATAGGGTATATTAGCTAGGGCTAGCATAACAAAATACTACAGCTAGGGTGGCTTAGGCAAAGGAAATTTAATTTCTCTCAGTTCTGGAGGCCAGAAGCATGAGACCAAGGTGTCAGTAGAATTGGTTTCTTCTAGGCCTCTCTCCTTGGCTAGCCGGTGGTTGGTTGCCTTCTCTCTGTCTTTACGTGATTTTTCCCGACTCTGTATGTGTGGGTTCTAATAAGGACTCTAGTCATGTTGAGCCTAATGGCCTCATTTTATGTGAATTACCTCTTTAAAGGTCCTGTCTCATTCTAATCAGTCACATTTTGAGGTGTTAGGTGTTAGGGATTAGGTATTGGGAGTTAGGTCTTCAACACATGAATTTGGGTGGGGGCATAATTCAGCATGTAACAAAGCCTTATTCAGATTTGTGTGTAAGTTTGATAAATTGTGTCAAGGAGTCTATTTGGGGGATGTAATGTACAGCATGGTGACTGTAGCTAATAATACTGTATTGTATTTTTGAAAGTTGCTAAGAGAGATCTTTAAAGTTCCCATCATAAGGAAAAAATTTGTATAACTGCGTGGTGATGGATGTTAACTGGACTTACTGTGGTGATCATTTCACTATATATACAAACATCAAATTATGTTGTACACCTGAAGCTAATATGTTGTATATCAATTATGCCTCAATTAAAACTGCATTTTGACCTCAAAAAAAGGAATCTACTTAATCTGTCAAATTTATTGGCATAGGGCATTCATAATAGTTATTAGTGTTTTATTGTCTGAAGGATCTATAGCAGTGGTTCTCAATCTTCCTAATGCCGCGACCCTTTAATACAGTTCCTCATGTGGTGGTGACCCCCAATTTCATTGTTACAAATGGAACATAATTAAAGCATAGTGATTAATCACAAAAACAATATGTAATTATATATGTGTTTTCCAATGGTCTTAGGTGAACCCTGTGAAAGGGTCGTTCAACCCCGAAAGGGGTCGAGACCCACAGGTTGAGAACCGCTGATCTATAGTGATGTTCCTGCTTTCATTCCTGATATTGATAATTTATCTCTCTCTAATACAGGTTTTATTAGCAGTTGGCCGTGAGCCCTCTACAAGGAAAATAGGCTTGGAGAAGATTGGTGTCAAAATCAGTGAGAAGTATGTACCTGTGGGATCATTGCACTATTGAAGCACAAAGCAAAATGTTTCTACAGATCACCTCTTAAAATTCTCTTTTAATTACTAAGTTGCAACATTTTTAAATGCTTTAATGTTACTTTATAGTAAATACTGTCCCAGCTCTATTATCAATTTTTTTCATTAATCAATCAGTAACTCTTTATTGTGTGCCTTAAAGAGCTCTTGCATGATTTTAAAAAATAAAATTAAAACAATTATTTTTTCACCTACTATCTGAATTAAATTAAATTTTATATCCTTGGTCAGGCAAGGAGAAAAATTTCAAAGCTCTGCCTGAAATTCTGGGGGAAATCTGGGAATATCCTCGACATCCAAAAAATGAGCATAGTTTCATCAATCAGCAAGGTGTTTTCTTTTGGAACTACAGATACCTTTGTTATTATAAGTCGTTGGTCTTACAGACAGGTGATGACTGAGGTGCATGAGTTCTGAGAGAGAGAGGTCTTTTCTTTATGTACTTAGTTCTCTTGGAATAGTGCTAGTCATCCAGCAGTATAGAGATAGTTATATATATATTTACTTTCAAAATCGAATAGGAGTGGCAAAATACTAGTCAACGACATAGAACAGACCAACGTGCCCCATGTTTATGCTGTCGGAGATGTCCTGGAAGGTAAACTTGAGCTCACTCCCGTCGCTATACAGGCAGGCAAGCTGTTGGCTCGAAGACTTTTTGGGGGTCATTCAGAAAAGGTACGTTTCATATTGTTTTTGAGATAATATCTAAATAAAAATTTTGACTTAAAAAATCAGTACAAATAAAACTTGTGTGCTTGTTTTGCAAGTAAAGGGTTCCTCACAAATCATTTGCATTTGACTTATTATTTACTAATGGTTTTCAAAAATATTTTTTAAATATCTGTATGTGCAAGATGTTGTGCTGGGTGATATACAAAGGATTGGTATGGTTCCAGTACCAAGGGCTTATAGGTAGGTGGGGGTCCTGAGTAAGAAGAGAGAGGAGCAGTTAATTCTGACTGAAGAGATCTAAAGAGGCCTCCCAGGTGGATGGTTGCACTGTCACAGAGTAGGAGGGACACTCAGAGTGGATTGGGATGCTGGCCCTGGCTTCATTGCCTGCTTAGTGTGTGAACCTGGTCAAGTCGTTTCACTTCTCTTCACCTCAGTTTCACCATCTGCAAAGCTGATGGTTTGAATTAGGTGATTACTACAGTCTCCTCCACCTTTCACAGTCTTATTTTTTCTAAATTAAATCTTTATTGTTCAGATTATTACAGTTGTTCCTCTTTTTCCCCCCCATAACTCCCCTCCACCCGGTTCCCACCCTACCCTCTGCCCTTA